ATGTAACAGCTCTCTTCAGATGTCTGTAAGACCACTATGCAGAAAAAAAATTATAGATAGAAATTTTAAATTGAGCCAGAGGGTAAAACTAGAAGTTACAGAAAATCAATTTTGGAGGAAACTTTCTTAACTTCAGGATAGCCTTAAGTTTAGCATGTACTGCAGTAGAATTTGGTGAATTCCTGGTCCCTAGTGCGTTCTTGCAGGCTTGGGTACATTTCATTTTAGAGGGGATCTGGGAATTTCAGGATTCTGAGGATCCTTCAAGTTCTGAGATTCAGCCTTTTGTTTCTAAAGTGGGTTTTAAAGAATTAGAATAATCCCTTGGAGATTTAGGAGAGGTAGCAGAGCGAAGGGACAGCGATGAGGTTAACATCCTGGCCCTTGAGTCAGGCTGCCTGGACTAGATCCCAGCTCAGCTCTTACCACCCGTGGGACCCTGGACAAATCCTGATACTTCTGTGTGTCCGTTTCCTTATCTGTAAAATGGTGCATTTGTAGTTCCTGTCTTGAAAGTAGTTGTGAGGACTAAGTCAGACAATACTGATAGAGCTCTTGGTAAGTAAATGAATAGTAGCTATTATTATTAACTCAGCCAGTGCGCTTTGCCTGACCTCCAAAGAACTTGCAAATTTAACTAGCTACTTCTGTCTAGTGGTGTTGGACGTGTGTTGGGGGGCAGTTCATGATAGGATAAATATTTTTGTTATTTGAAGGGGTAATATAATCCAAATATAGGAATTAAAAAGTAGCCATGAAAGATAAAAATAAAGTTATCACGTTTCTATCTGGTCCTTGATCTTTAGACAAAGGTTAGAATTTTAAGGAAGCTCCCTTAGTCCGTTAACACTAGAACTCAATTTTTATTAATCATTTTATTCAGTGATGTTTATTTTCACCTACTTAATTTAGATTTTTGTATGCAGCCTTCAAGAGGATGTTTGTTTTTCTAGATTCTTTGCTAGAAAGCAAAGATTAGAAAGTTATAAGGAAAGACGGTAGAAAGACACGAGGTGGCTTAGGTAGGGCAGCTGCCTTAAGAGTGCCGAGGCCTTGGTAAGAATCTTGAACCCATACAAGTCAAGTGGGTACTATAATTTTAGCTCCAAATAAAAACCTTATATTCTCTACTCCATGCCACTTAAAAATCAAATTATGTTTATAGTAGGACAGAACACCAGATTGAAGATGTAGAGAAGATTGAAGTAAAACACATACCTAGACACAATTTGGTATTTCTCTTCTTCATCTTTATCTATCACTCACAATTCAGATAATCTATTTAAAATAAAATAAAATTCTTTTTTTCCCCTTTAGTTATTGCCAATTTTTAAAGTAGGGGATAAAGAACTTTTCCCAGGCTTGTCCAACAACCCCACATCATGCAAGAGTAACTTTCTACACCTGTCTGTGCAAGAGACCGTGGGTGTGTCCCAACTTAGCCCCCTTTGGAGTGAGCTGTGCAAGCAACTTTATTTCCACCATTCATTGTCCAGGGCGCTGACTGTGTACGTAAAATGTGTAAGGGGTTGGTAAAATGTGTATTACATCCACAATATCCCCCTTGAAGTTGAATTTCAAAAGGAAACTGTCACCACTATTTACTTCCCTGTAGCAGTAGCTCCTAGTAACCTAGAGTAATGCAAATTAAAGCGTAGAACGTTTGGACAGCAGAACGTGGGAAGATCTTATTGTCCACAGGATATTCATCATGCCGTGGGAAGCAGGGAACCACCCTGGCCAAGCCAGACTTAGAAAGAAAGGCTTTCATAAAAATGCTCTGAGCACCAATATAACCATATATTCTAAAGTCCTCTTCTGTAAATTTTATTGTCTTCCCAACATAACTCACTAAACGTCCACATCCACTCATGGAAATTGAAAGAATCTTCTCAGGTCAGACATCCTGGTTCCTCAGACTTACCTTTCTTTTGTCCTGCAAGATATTTAATTTGGCCATGTTTTTGTGAACTTTTGGATTTATGTGACATTGGAGACCCAAACCAAAATTCCTGAAATCCTGTCTTTAATCAACATTTTGGCACCTGTTCCAAACCTCAAAAATCATAAATTATACAGCAAAGATAGGGCAACATCTATTCTTCACTTATCCCTTGTAGGTAGATGAAGGAATGCTGTAACTTGAGCTGTGATCTGGAAGTATATTGAATAAAACAAAGACATTCTTACTCAGAACAAAGTGTCTATGAGGAACATGTCTGGCATTAAAACCATTTTTACTGAGGCAGGATACTTTGGTTGCAAGTAACAAAGATGGCCTTTAGCCAACTTGATTAGTTTGCTAGAACTGTTATAACAAAGTTATAACACAAACTGGGTGGCTTGGAACAAGAGGAAATTTATTCTCTCATGGTTGTAGAGGTCGGAAGTCTGAAATCAAGGTGTCAGCAGGGTCATGCACCCTCTGAAACCTGCAGGAAAACGATTCTTCCTTGCCTCTTCTAGTTTCAGGCAATCCTTGGTGTTCGTTGACCTATAGATGCATCATTCCAATCATCCATCTTCACATAGCCATCTTCTCTCTGAGCATATCTGTCTGTGTTTCCAAATTTCCCTTTCTATAAGGACATTAGTCATATTGGATGAGGGCCCACCCTAAGGGCCTCATTTTAATTTTATTACCTCTGTAAAGATCCTATTTCCAAATATGGTCATATTCCAAGGTACTGAGGGTTAGGATTTCAACATATCTTTTGGGAGAGGGGGGACACAATCCAACTTATAACACCACCGTAAGCAAAAAGGGAAGTTATTGGAAAGATATGAGGTGGCTTATTTAATTGAAGGAAGAGCTAAAGAATGAGGATCTGAAGGGGTAAGAGCATGGCCGCCCCAAAGATCCAAGGAGCAGGAGCTACTCTCAACCCTGCCAGGAGGCTGCTGTGGGACCTCCGCTGACTTTCCCATATTTGCATCACTCTGCGTGACATGCAGAGTTCCAGGAGAAAGTCTGACTGAGTCACTCCCCGGCCAGAAAAGTCAGAGTCTCATCATCTGCTTTCCCAACAACATTACAGAAACAAAGGAGAGATAATTCCCAAAGGATTTGAGATGTTATTACCAAGAGAATGGAGGAAGGATGCTAAATGTACAAAACCAAATGTCTAATCTAGGCCCTCTAGCAGGAAATGAGGAAGGAAGCAAAATATGAAAAAAAGTATATTTTCATATAGTCCAAATTCATCATTAACTCTATGTTAATAATAAACTTCTGATGCTTATTAATATAGCCATTGAGAAAAAATTGCCACTCTGATAGAATTTGCCTTTCTTATAAAGTCAAGAACACGGAGGGAATTATAGCTAATCATGATTGTTTCCATTACTGAGTTCTCTTTAGTTAGATTTGGCTACCATGTCAGTTTTATAGATAGAGAAAATGAGTGTCTAAGTTAGCCTCTCTCCCATTCTTTGGTCTGTTGTTCCTTGCACTTTGGTGCAGGTCAGGACACCCACTGCCTCTCTGGCCACAGGAAGCTGCCTGGCACAGTGTGGTCAGCTGCTCCTTGATGCCTTGGAGGGAAGGGTGTATCCTCCCCTCCCAGCCCTGAGGCACCCACTTCTCATGCTTGCAATACTGGGCTCTCCTCATTCCACGCTTTCTCCCAATTCATCCTACCACCACCTCTTCAAAGAATATAGCCATTGTTATGTTAGTTACGCTTTGGATTAAGAAAAGAAAAGAAGAGGTGGGAAAAATTAACAGAGAGAACTGCATAAAATGAGGAGTATAAGGGGGTGGCTCGTCATTAAATGGTATAAAATCTTAAAGAATAGACTTAGCCTTCAGGCTGTCTTTTTGCAGTTTATTCTTTGACTCTTCCAAAGACAAATAGCTGAGAGACTTACTGTGATATTTTGCCTGTTGTCAAATTCCGTGAACTGCCTGGGCATGGAAGTGGTGATCTCCAAGGCTGGAGTAACATGCAAGGAGCAGTCTGGGACTTAGAGACTAGATCATTGAGTCTGGCACGTTGCACCTCTATCTGGAGGTAAGCAGAAAACTAGTACAATAGGCAGAACATGGACTCAAAAAAGGATGAACAGTGGTCCCCTGAGGAAGATCAGACCATGATAAACGGGGTGAGGTGGTCTCTACCAGTAGGTAGGAAATTATGGAACAGGAAATGTTTGAAATTTTACATTCTTGGCATCAGAGAAACAATTAAATGGTCCAGCCCAGAAGTAACACGTGTCAATTCTGCTCACGACTTATTAGCCAGACCAGTCACTTGGCCTAACTCAACCACAAGGAGGCCAGGAAGTACGTGTGCCCAGAAAGGGGAACTGGACATACTTAGCAAACAGCAGTAATGACTTCCACTTGTCAAAATGCAAACTCCAGGCCCCCCCCAACAAGCTCTGATTCAGGAGATCCTTGGAATCTGCATTTTAAATAGGCCTCCTCAGGTGAGTCTGATGCAGAGGAGCAAGGTGGAGTCCCTGGACCACAATTTAAGGCACAGCGACTTAGGGCATCTCTTCAGTATAGGCAGGTGATCAAGAGGACAGGGACACATCTGAGATACAGTTCTCAGAGCTCAGATGTAGGGCCAAGCCTGGGTCACCTCAAGTTGTTATCAAAGAGGGCGACAGATGTCTGGACACTGAGGCCCAGAGGGCTGGACAGAAGCTCCTAAAATGCCCAGGCATGAGGGTAGTGTTGGAACTGTGCCTGAGAAAGAGCAGACCCTCAGGTGTGTGTCGAGCTTCCTTAGGAGAGGAAGAGGGAGGTGGGGCTGACTCCAGGCAGTGATTCTCAGATGTGATCTCAAGTTTCTGTTTATATTAGCAGAAACTCATTGGCCAATATAACATTTTATTGTATAATTGTGGTTTTTCTTTCCTCTGTTCTTTTCTTGCTTCTCTCTCCCTTCTCCATCCCTCTCCTTCTCCCCTCTTCCTCTCATCACATCTTCCTCCCTCGTCCCTCTCATTCCTCCTTTCCCATGGCACCCACCCCTCTGTTCTGTCTCCAGGTATTACGCCATCTGCTGCCAGCCTTTGGTCTATAGGAACAAGATGACCCCTCTGCGCATCGCATTAATGCTGGGAGGCTGCTGGGTCATCCCCACGTTTATCTCTTTTCTCCCTATAATGCAAGGCTGGAATAACATTGGCATAATTGATTTGGTAAGTACCCACGCAGACCCCACTGGTTTACTGTCTGATTAACTTTGGTTTGCTTGGGGTTCTACATAAACAAACAATATCACGTTGGGTGGATATTCTAAGAAAGATTCTGGTACTGATCTGAGTAACAACAGTAACAGCAAAAAAAGCAGGCTAACATTTTTGAAAGCTTACTGTATGCCAGAAAGTACACTAAATACATATAATCCTGACAACGTGCTTTTGAGAAAATTAAATTTTCCCATTTCAGAGATGAGAAAACTCAGGCTCAAAAAAGGTGAAGTTGAGGGCCGGCCCGGTGGCGCAAGCGGTTGGGTGCGCACGCTCCACTGTGGTGGCCCTGGGTTCGCCGGTTCGGATCCCGGGCGTGCACCGATGCACCGCTTGTTAAGCCATGCTATGGCAGCGTCCCATGTAAAGCAGAGGAAGATGGGCACGGATGTTAGCCCGGGGCCGGTCTTCCTCAGCAAAAAAGAGGAAGATTGGCATTGGATGTTAGCTCAGGGCTGATCCTCCTCACAAAAAAAAAATTAAAAAAAGGTAAAGTAACATGCCCAATGTCACACAGCTAGTGAATAGCAGAACAGGTGTTCACAGCTTAGCAGTCAGACTCCAGAGTTTGAGGTATGTGATGTGCCCCAAGAGGCCTTCATCCCATTCCATGCTGAGAGTCTATGAGGCTTACAATGACCCACAGAAAACATGTGGGTGGAGGCTTCTAGAGAATGAAGGGAGCGCTGGGCCAGGAGTCAAGAGAACTGAGCACTGAGCCTAGCTCTGTCACTGACCCACTTCCTGGAGGGCTGCGATGAGAAGATCCCTTGGTCCTCAGTGGAGAATAGCATCTTCCAGTGGTATAGGAGAACAGCGTGTGGCACACATGGCAGGCATTTGCCAGCCCCTCTTCCGATGATCTTTCAGACATGTCCAGCTCTGACATGCTGCGTTTGTATTACCGGACTTGTAAGGAAGATCAAAAGCTGTGGTCTGGATTCGTTAGCAGGGATATATGTTCCCTAGGAAGCTGTCAGGCAGGCACTTTAAAACTGATCTCAGGACCACGTGGAGGTAGAAGGGGAATGGAGAGGAGAGACTGAGAGCGAGCTCTGGCCCAACGGGACCAGTCAGAGCAGGAGCTGCCCCTTCCTCTCTCCACCCCATTCCCAAGCCCCTAATCTTGCCTTGTTCTTTGTCCAGGAAAGGATATCCAAACCAAGGCTGGGCCAGGATTGGCATGTGGTATGTGAGAACAAGAGTTCCTTGGGCTTCTGAAAGAAATGCTGGGGACAAAGGAGTGGAGAAGTAAAAGGGGGTCCGGACAAGGGAGACTGTATGGATGTTTTCTTGAATCCTACCCCTCTTCTTTCAAACTTTCAGTTTTATCATTCTTGGGGGAAATGAAATTCAAGTTTCTAACAACCAAGAGAATAATAACAATAATGGCCACAATTGTGGAACACTTACTGTGTGCTGAGCCCCGGGTTAATGTAATCATTGTTATCTCACTCAGGCCTCACAACAATGCTATGAAGCAAATCCTGTTATTGTCCTCAGGAAATTGAGGATCAGAGAGGTTAAGTCATTAGCTGATATCACATTGGTAGGGAGTGGTAGTGACTATATCTAAGGCCAGGCTTACTGGACTTTCAGAGTCTATGCTCTTAATACAAAAAGTTTTCACCGAGTTCTACATACTAGCAACAAGCAGGATTAAGAATTTAACATGATACCATTTGCAGTAGAATGAAAATCAAATACTTAGGAATAAATCTAACAAAAGATGTGCTAGACATTTACACGAAAAATTATAAAATATTACTGAAATAAATTTTAAAAGACTTAAGGGAACTTAAGATTTAACGTTGTAAAGATGTGGATCTCCCTCAATTGTTCTATTTTAACTCCAATCAAAATCCTAGAAGACGCTTATGGAAATTGATGAGCTAATTCTAAATTTTATAGAGGAAATGCTGAGATATAGGCCTAGCCAAAACCGGCTAGGCCTATATCTTAAAGACCTATATAGTCTTAAAGGAGATGAGCCACAGTTTGAAGACTTTAACTACCAGATACAGTGTGTGCAAGCAGACTGGGAAGGGAGGAGACGTTAACTCCACTATTGGTAGGGTAGGTAGAGTGAAGAATGATTTTGTCCCTATTTTATTTCTACTCTTTGCTGGGGCCCTCAGCCCCTTGTGGACAGACAAGCCCTCTGAGCCCTGGGATATGGTTATATTCCTTTTCTACCATCATGGTTCTATGTGCTGTAGGCTGATAAGAAAATGAAAACTTTGCTGATAAACCTTCTTCTTTCTTTCCTTTCCCCTTTTCGCTTATTCTTCCTTCTCTGTCCCCATCCCCTTCTTTCTACTTTCCAATTCCTCCTTTTCTCTTCTTCTTTTTCATCCCTTTTTCTTTTGTTACAATTTTCCTCGTTCCCTTCCTGCTTCTTCCTCTTCACTTTTTCCTTCCCTTTCTCCCTCCCTTCCTCGCTTCCTCTCTCCCGCCAACTCTCAGATAGAAAAAAGGAAGTTCAACCAGAACTCTAACTCTACATACTGTATCTTCATGGTCAACAAGCCGTACGCCATCACCTGCTCTGTGGTGGCCTTCTACATCCCGTTTCTCCTCATGGTGCTGGCCTATTATCGCATATATGTCACAGCTAAGGAGCATGCCCACCAGATCCAGATGTTACAACGGGCAGGAGCCCCCTCGGAGGGCAGGCCCCTGCCGGCAGACCAGCATAGCACTCATCGCATGAGGACAGAGACCAAAGCAGCCAAGACCCTGTGCATCATCATGGGTTGCTTCTGCCTCTGCTGGGCTCCATTTTTTGTCACCAACGTTGTGGATCCATTCATAGACTACACTGTCCCCGGACAGGTGTGGACCGCTTTCCTCTGGCTTGGCTACATCAATTCTGGGTTGAACCCCTTTCTCTACGCCTTCTTGAATAAGTCTTTTAGACGTGCCTTCCTCATCATCCTGTGCTGTGATGATGAACGCTACCGAAGACCTTCCATTCTGGGCCAGACTGTCCCCTGTTCAACCACAACCATTAATGGATCCACACATGTACTAAGGTGAGTGCTTAGGGGCTTGAGAGATTTTGTTCATTTGCATGGCTCAGAAGAGTTAACTCTCCAGTTTTCTGTTTCCAGAGGGGTTATTCTTGAAAACCTGTGCAGTGTTTGCAAAGATTAAAGAAAATTCTACCATCTGGTCATGGAATAGAGTCGTGAGTGAGGATTCAGGATCTGGGGGAAGACTGACCTACGTTGAAATCCAGTCTCCATAGTTCTATGGCCTTGGGCAAGTCTTTAACCATTCTGAACCTTAATTTCATTTTTTTTAATTGAGATCATAATCACTATATCTATATCCCACGGTTTTTGTGAGGATCAAATTAGTTAATGTACATAGCACATGTAGTACAGAGCCTGACACCTAGTAAGCACTTAGTAAATATCATCTACTATTATTTAAAGGTAGTATTTTAGGGTAGTGGTTACAAGCATGGGCTTTAAGGTAAAATAAATTTTATTTTGACTCTCAGTGCCACTACTAACCATTTGTATAATCTCTCTTGGTTTTATTTTCCTCAACTGTAAAAAAATGGTAACAATAATGGTAACAATATCCATCTCATAGAGTTTTTGTGACAATTAGAGATAATGTGTCCATATAGGGCCCATAAGCACTCACAATACTACTAATGCTGTTATTAATATTAGTAGGAGTAGTAGTAATAGCATCTTGCCTGATACCCTAAGATGGTCATAAAATAGCATGATAGACTAAAATAAGGAGAATGATAAATGTACAAGAGTAATGCCATGTGATATGTGATGTAACGGTTATGGGGCAATATAGAGTGGGGATGTGAGCAGGAAAGAAGCTGATTTGGCTTCAGGGAATCAGGGAAGGCTTCACAGAACAGCATTTTATAAGAATTTGAGACTTGGAGGAGATATCAAGGAAGGAATTCCAGGCAGAGAGAACAGAATGGAATAGGAAAGAACCTGGACAGGTCAAGTGATTTACCCAAGGTTACATAGGTTGATGGAAGCAGGAGTGACTTTGGAGTTGAATATTCAGTGACTAGTCATGATACCTCTCTCTAAACCCTGAGAATTTTCTGGCTCCCCTGAGCTAGAATTGTTCTCAGCTGTGAAAAGCCGTGTGCCATAAGTACACTCATCCTGTAGCAAAGATGAATTGTCAACATTTTTTTTCTTTGCCCTGAGATACACAGGAATTTCTAAAGAGCAATTCCTTCTTTGAGACAAGCATTTAATTTTTCTGATGATGACAGTATTCATCTGTTCTGGCAGCTGAAAACTGGGGAATTTTCATTTGCATGTGTAAGAAAAGAAGAAGAGAAAATGGGAATAGCTATGAAATATAAATGCTTTGCCTCAGAGGCTGCTCAGAAGCATGAATTCAGTTTTCTGCTACCCGTGTGGGCAGACTTGTAGCTAAAGCCCAGTATGGTGTAGAGATTCTAGGTGGCAGAAGGGCCTCAAAGTATACTCCTATAGGCTGACATGCTCTCCTAACTATTATGCCTTAGCAAGTGTCATAGAAAGGACCCACCCATAAAGTAAAGTGTGTGTGCAAGAACTTCTGTGTGGGTGCCAGAGAGTTTTTAGCTATTTAAGCTAGCAGTTGCCTGAGTACAGGCTGTCAACATCTTACAAACAGAATATGCTCCAGCAGAGCATTTGCTAAGTCAGTTGTTTAGAATTGGGTGGCCTTTTCCCATAGAAACAGTCATAGAAAGAGTTTGAGGGTTTCTAGGGCAGCCCAAGAAGTCCTGTTTTACTAATACTGTACTGTTTTATCCCTGCTGCTTTTGGAAATCTGCAGTGGAATTGTAAAGCAGAGATAGTAGTTTAGAGATGGCTTATGGATATACTCTCCATACTTTATTCTTTGCATTTCTTCATGAGGTCATGAAAAACGCAGGAAATTGGTCTGAGATATTTTTCTGTGGAGGTGAGGAATCTCATAAGAGTAGGGGCAGCGTATACAGAGGAGAGAGGACTCTGAAACCTGAATCCTCTAGGGTGTAAGCCTTGCAAGGGCAGGAATCCTACGTGTTTTATTCACTGCTACATACCGAATACCCGATATGTTGCCCAGTGTGTAGTAGGAACTTAAACTCTTGTTGAATAAATGAACAAATCATGCAATTAATTCTTCAGATCAATTGTTTTAACTTGACACAACTTAAGAAAAAATTCGTATTTTTCTCAAAAATCCCACAAATAGGACATCAACAAATTCAGATGAATTCAAGAAATATAAAACCCAAACTATCAGAAGTAAAATCAGCTTTTATCCTGCTAATCCTACCCCTAGCCTCAGAGACAACAGTTAACACTAGTCTGGTGATCTTTTCAATGCATTTACAAACATTCATAAAAACTTATGGATTCATAGATTTTTCTCCCTTTACTTTATATAAATGGGGCCATTGTCTATGTACTTTTCTGCACCTTGCTTTTTATCCCTTAACAATGCATTTTAGAGATCATTCTACCTCAGAACATATAGATCTAACTCATTCTTTTTAACTGTTCTGTACTAAATAATCTTCTATACCAAAAATATGGATTAAAATGTATTTAATTATTTCCCATTAGTGGATGTGTAGGAGTTTCCAATCTTTCGCTATGACAAACTGTACTGTTTTTAATGCTCTTGAACACATTTCTTTGTGCATATGCCAGTATTTCTCTCAAATAGCTACCTAAAGTGAAATTGCTCTATTGACATGTATGTGCGTTTAAAAATGTTATGTTTACCATAAAATCGAACTCCTAGAACACTGTAGTGATCATTCTCATCAGCAGAGTGTGAGGGTAGCCTCTACTCCTTCCCCTCACCAACACTGAATATTATACATCTGTTACTATTGCTAATTTAAAAAACGCTTTCATTTAATTTGCATTTTCCAGATGATTTAGAAGGTTAAACCTCTTTTAAATTAATTATTTTATTTATTTATTTTTGTGTGAGGAAGATGAGCCCTGAGCTAACATCCATGCCAATCCTCCTCCTTCTTTTTTTTTTCCCTTTTTCTCCCCAAAGCCCCAGTAGATAGTTGTATGTCATAGTTGCACATCCTTCTAGTTGCTGTATGTGGGACGCCGCCTCAGCATGGCCGGACAAGCGGTGCATCGGTGTGCGCCGGGGATCTGACCCCGGGCCGCTGGTAGCAGAGTGTGTGTACTTAACCACTAAGCCACAGGGCCAGCCCCTAAATTAATTATTGACTAATTTAAAAGTTATTGACATACATTTCTCCTTAGGTGAACTACATCTTCATATGTTTGGTGCTTTATGTGACAACCTTGTTGTATTTTTCTTATTAATTTCTGGATGTTCTTTATTATATTCTGAATATTAGTCCTTTGTTACATATAATTTGCAAATACATCTCCCCATCTTCTGCTTGCTTTTGAACTTTGGTTAACTTTTGTCATAAAGAAGTTTCAAATTTTGAAAACACTATTCTTATTTGACCTCTTACAATTGTCCCATCTTCCTTCTTGAAATAGTTTCCACATTAATTTTCCTAAACACGATACTTGCCTGGTTTTCCTCCTAACTCACCAGCAACTCTTTCTTAGTATTTTTTACAGGTTCTTCCTTCTCTATCTGGCCTCTAAATGTTGGAGTTCTTCAGGGCTTGGTACTTGATACTCTTCTCAGACTACATTCTTACTTTATGTTATTTAACTATCCCTAGCTTTAAATACCTATTTTCATGCTGTCGACTTCTCTTTAATTAATATCTCCAGGTCATAGCTGTCCTCTGAACTCCAGACCACAAGATCCAATTTTCTTCCTTGACTACCCCATATAGGTGCCTCTTAGGAATCTCAAATTTAATGCATCTAAAACAGAATCATTCTGTATCCTGCCCCCTAAACACAAATTCCCTGAATCTTCCCTGTCTCCATAAATGGAACCGTCATCTACCATGTTACTAAATCTAGACACTTTTCTGTGGCTCTGAGGAAGAACTAACGTTAGAAGACAGATGTAAAGATTTAAAAAAGAAAAACCAGTTAGCTGGTATTGAAAATATGGAGTTAAATAGAAGTAAATGTAAAATCCAACCATAGGGGCAAAATATAAATCACAGAAATGTAGGATGATGCCTGAGCGAATTTATAGCTGCATGTGTAAAATTTGGAATTTGATAAGTGTGCCTTCATTTTCCTCATCCAAAGCATCCATTGACAAAGTACTGGATAGGTCACTAGAGACCTCCTTCCATGTTATTAATCATAATTATGATTATGATGCCTAACATAATTCCAGAAGAGAATGTGCCAGTTATTGTATTTAAGAACTTTGAATACATCATTGCATTTAATTTTTACAACAACCAAAGAGATTGGTATTATAATTATCGTCATTTTAGAGATGAGGAAACCAAGGTTTAGAGAGAGAAAGTAATTTATCCAAAGTCATACAAATAGTAAATGTTGGAGCTAGATTTCAGACGAAAGTCTTCCTGACCCCAGAGCTCAGTCTAGTCCAGGCCACTTAGAGTCAGGGTTAGGGTTATCATTTCTCACATTTATCTTGACTCTGTGGATAAATATAGTGAGCCATTTATCAGTCTATCAACTCTGTCTTCCTGCTCATGTTTCTCTATCTTGTCTCCAAACTGTGGAAGACTAGTAACTTGTTCGAATCCAGGCATTTTTCAGTCTCTTTTCTAAAAAGAAAATAAGGTTATGTCAGATGGGCCTATTCTTAGTAATCTCATGTTGACTCCTATCTCTGGGTACCCAATGACTACTCAAAGAAATAATCAATTTAAAAGAAGCCCACCTCAGGATGGATATTGAACTCTTCCCTCTATAGTTTGCAGAACACACCCTTTTTACATTTTTTCAACTGGGGCGTTTGTTCTTTTCTACTTTCTCTAGGTGGCAATGGCCTGCTTACAGTGCTATTTTTCATGGCATTTGTGTTGCTTTAGATTATAGAATTCTTTATTTAAATTCTGTAAGATCAAATATTTCTTGAGGGTAGAACTTATGGCTTTCTCTTCTCTATG